GTCCCAGGGGAACCAGGACCAGAGGGTTCTGGGTTGGAGTCCCAGGGTAACCAGGACCAGAGGGTTCTGGGTTGGAGTCCCGGGGGAACCAGGACCAGACGGTTCTGGGTTGGAGTCCCGGGGGATCCAGGACCTTTCTGGGTGGAGTCTGCATGTTCTCCTGTGTCTGTGGGTTCTCTCCGGGTTCTCCGGGTTCCTCCCACCGTCCAAAAACCTGCATGTTAGGTTGTTGGACTCCAAACTGCCCTTAGTGTGAGTGTGTGTGGTTGTTGGTCCTTGTGTGTCTCTGTGTGGCCCTGTGATGGACTGGGGACCGTCCTCGCCTCTTGCCCATGGACTACTGGGATAGGCTCCAGGTCCCCCCATGACCCCATTAGGGAAGAAGCAGTTCTGATAATGGCTGGAGGATGTGCTTCTGGAATGCTTATATAGTAAATCTACAGTGACTCGGTGGTGCTTTAATCTTACATGAACGGTTTTCAAAAGCTTCATTTGTGAGTGACTGATTCAGAATTTTAAAAGGAAACTGTATCATTGTAGGCCATCATGCACCAGGAGGGTCACATGGACGATGGGCTGTCCCTGTCCCGGTCACAGCACGAGGAGAGCCGCACGGCTAGGGTCATCCGAAGCACTGTCTTTCTCTTCAACCTATTCATCAGGTGAACTGCTCCAGACACCTGTCCGCTGCCTTTCTGTCCTCCTGTGGCTCAGGAGGAAACAGCAGAAGCCTACTGATCGGGGGGGGCAGTGGTTGGACTCCATGGTCCTCCAGGGCACATGTGGAAGAGTCCTTGAAAAAAAAAAATTAAATTGTATTTTCTTTATTCTTTAGGGGTCTGGACACTCTCAGAAAAAAAGGAAAGTGTCCAAATTTGAATCTTCCGATTGACTCGGTTAGTCTGAGTCTGCAGGACCTAATCGGCTACTTCCAGCCACCTGGAGACAATTTGGAGCACGAATATAAACAGAACCGCCTACGAGCTCTGAAGAACAGACAGAACCTCTTCCAGGAGGAGGTAGGGACTGCCGCCGTCTGTGCATCAGTACAGTCTTTTTTGGGTTGTTAATTTGATCTCTCTGTATTTTTATATGTGTTTGACTGTACCATATTTTGTCCCACTTATTTCCTTCATATCCCTGGAATTTCCACTTTGTACTTTCTCTCCTTTTTTTGCTCCCCTGAGTATTAAGGATCCCAGGAGGCTGACCCACAAGCAGATGATATACACAAGTCCTAAAACCCAGCTTTATTGAAACAGTAACAAAGACCCGCAGCTCTGCTTGGGTAACAGTGCACAGCCAATGGCTGGAGAGATCCAAGTCAGGGCAAAAACTAAAGGAACCTCAATGGGCTGGAGGTGGCATTCTCAGAAAAAACATTTCAGAAACAATCTTCAAAGGGGTGGGGGTTAGCTCCTTCATTTCACACAAGAGGGATCCCATTTCAAATCCAGGGGAACAAAAGAGTGTGTACCGTCTTCCATGCATGTGTGGGTTCTCTGTGGGTCCACTGGAGTCCAGACACAGAGGCTGTGATGCCCTGTGGTGGACAGCTGACCTGCCCAGAACGCAGAATCATGACAGTTTAGTTCTGTCATACTGCTGGGCATTTCTACAAAGATGCGTAGTACTTTAAGGTGAAGCACTAAAGTCAGCCCCACCTGTGTCCGTAGGGGATGATCACCCTGGTGTTGGAGTGTATCGATCGTCTGCATGTGTACAGCAGCGCGGCTCATTTTGCTGAGGTCGTGGGAAGAGAGGCAGCAGAAGCCTGGAGCTCCATCCTCAACTCCCTATATCAGCTTCTGGGTAAAACACACAAACATCACAGACCAGAGAATTCACAGAAAAGACAGAGATCAACATACAATTAGTAGTTTTTGCTAGTTTAGCATTTTCCCTTCAATTCAAAGCAACGGCACCAGCTGATGCCTTCTGTCTTCTTTCCTGCCTCAAACAAGCTGCCCTTATCAGAGGAAACAGGAAAAACTGTGCCCAGTTCTCCGGTTCCTTAGACTGGCTAATAAGTAGATTGGAGCAGCTGGAGGCATCTTCAGGTAAGCCATCTTATTTTAAAGAATACATCAGAAGCACGCAGTGTTATAGTTTAATTTAATCTAGAAGTAGAGTTAAACAATCAAGCCAAAAAAAAATCATTCACCTTTAGTTGTTAAGAGGTTACTATCCTAAACCTTAGTGGGGGAGTTTGAACATTTCTGGACTGGGCTCATGAAATGAGACTGAGAGACGAAGTGGGGCTTTGTTAGTGGAAATGAGGCCATTGATAATCCATTTACATTTCTACTCTCACGCATGGTTGTGATATTTATGTGGTGACTAGACCAGTGAGATGTAGGAAACAGGAAGCTGAAATTGTTCTGATATTCCCGGGCTTAGGACAGCCTGTAGTCATGGTATGGAGGGAGCTTAGGCTGGAGCTTTGGCTTCTCTGGATCCAAAGGTCAGCTGAGTTGGTTTGGGCACCTGATGAAAGCGCCTGCATGTCCCTCCCCACTAGGGTTTTTCAAGCCCACTCAGCTGGGAATGACACCTGAGGGTACACCCAAAGTGCACGGTAGAGATTGTTCCCCCCGTTGGTCTGGAAATGCTTACAGGAGTGAGGTGGAAGGCATTTTACAGGCCGGCTATGCAGTGTTATTGGCCATCACATCTTTGATCCTGAATGCTCACTGCTTTTTCTCTTCCACACCGCCATTTTATCTGGGAGTAACATTGTTTTTTTACCCAATAACTCTGAGATGAGGGAAGCTGACAATCACCCGACCGGGATTAGTGGAGGAAAATTGCAAATTGTTTGTACAATCTTTGGTTGTGTTGGTGGCTGTAGCCTCTCAAAATATGAAGTATCGATACATTGTAATGTGCAGAAATCATAACTTTATGATGAAATGAAATGAAAAATGATGAAAATCAACTAAATTAATATTTTGATGAAACATAATGCAACAGTCCAAATGTGGTCAATTTGAAACTAAACCCAGAGACATTTTTCTGATTAGAAAAATGATCAGGAAAAAACAGATATATAATTTTCCTGGCAATATTTTTATGTGCATTTCATTTGCCCTCTTTGTACAGTGCAGGGTGAAAAAACACAAATGAATAGTCCCAAATGAAAACAGGTTTTTTTATAGGCAGGGTTCTAGAGGTTGATAATTAATCAAAAACTTCAGCCATTTTTGCTGAAGAACAGAAAAAGCTTTATTTGTCTTCTAAAAGGAAAACAATTAACTATTGGATGTCCAAATCAATGCTGAGAAATCTATTTTATGCATGCACCCGCTTCTGAAGCAGCTGCTTAGAGTCTGCTTTGTTTCTTTAAAAGAAATCTTCATTCTTACTCTTATGTTTTGTTCTTGTTCTTGTTTTTTATTCCCAGGAATATTGGAGGTTCTTCACTGTGTGCTGGTGGAAAGTCCCGAGGCTCTAAACATAATCAAAGAGGGCCACATAAAATCCATCATATCTCTCCTTGATAAGCATGGACGTAACCACAAGGTACTTTATACTCACACATGCACGGCCATACAGCTAAAGACAAATACAGATAAGATAAAAAAATGATTGAGAAAAGGTTAGAAGAAAATATGTATTTAAATTCAAATTAGGATTTGATTTGTATTGACTTAAAACACCCTGCAGTGTGGCTGAACTTGTGAATAACTCTCATTCACAATACTTATCTCACACTCATGGACATGATCTTTTAAGATGTGAGATAGGGATTAATTAGATGATATAATATAGATAGGTCAGCTCCATGCTTACACAAAGGATACAGGCATGTAGAGGTAAGATAGACAACAAGGTAGTTTCTTTGTAAAAACAGAAAAATATAAACAGGAAAATACTTCCTGCATACCCCAGTGAAGGACTTTTCAAAGGTCAAGTAGCTCAAAATTGAAATGTTTACAATGATCAGAGTCTAATGATCAGAGAAGTATGATGAAAAGTCTCATGACAGCTGGAATAAAGGACATCCTGAGCCATGTGTGTAGCCTAAAAACAAAAGAAGCCACAGGGCACCCTGGAAGCTCTGGTACTGCAGTCCAGAGTCTTACTGAATAAGTCTTAGGGAACAAGACTCTCTCTGTATCACAAAATGTCCGACTATATTGTAACAGGAACAACATCTCTCTTTGTGCATATATTTAGGTTCTAGATGTGTTGTGCTCACTGTGTGTGTGTCATGGCGTGGCAGTGCGCTCCAACCAACACCTGATCTGCGACAACCTGCTGCCCGGAAGAGATCTGTTGTTGCAAACTCGCCTGATTAACCACGTGGGCAGGTATGCAAACATGCACCCAAACACGATGCTGAGGGGAAGGAAGAATGAGATACATCTATAGAGAAGCATGTCTAATGACAAACCTGGTCTATTGACCACTTTCTTTATGGAGCTCTGAACTTCTGGATTTGTACAGTTGAAAGTGGACTCTGCACAGCGCCAGTCCTCCGCTTGATCCCTGTGAACCCAAAGTCATGTACTTCTGTTGGCATGAGAGCATCGGATCTCTGGGAAGTTTGATAGGTTTTAGACTAGTCATTTTAAAAATAAATCTAGAAGGTTTAAATGAAGTAATAACTGGTATACATGCACAACTACGGGTTTGGACATTTCAGAATTGATCAATAGTATAGTAAGAACCAACTGTTCACTGGAAAATGACTAACATCCAAACCCTGTGCAACACTCTGCCCATATCTGCTGTCAGGATTACCAACGCAGAGCACGAGGCCAAACTATATTAACTCAGGACACAGTGAAATGTGATTTTTTGATGTGATAATGTGATGTTCTCTTTCTAAACCTCAAGTCAATGTGAATGTAAAGCTCTTTAAGGCATGTAGGAAGTGAAAGAGGGAGAAAACAGGATATTACTTTGACAAAATGTCGTCAGTTCAGTGGCTGAATATTCTGATGACTTACTTTCACACATTCACAAACAGGAGCTGAATCCAGCCGCTCTCAGCACGGCTCAGTGCATGTTGCCACAGTTGTGTAACCAGTAAAGTGTCTCTTTCCAACAGCATGCGCCCCAACATCTTCCTGGGAGTGAGCGACGGCTCTGCCCAGTACAAGAAGTGGTACTATGAGCTCACGGTGGACCAGGCTGTGCCCTTCGTCACAGCAGAGGCCACGCACCTGAGGGTGGGCTGGGCCAACACCAGTGGGTACGCGCCCTCCCCCAGCGGAGGGGAGGGCTGGGGGGGCAACGGGGTTGGTGATGACCTCTACTCGTACGGCTTTGATGGCCTTCATCTTTGGTCAGGTGAGCTGTGTGTGAACACGGTGGGAAGGCAGTAACAGAGATAGTTGTGGACTACTGATTTCTGTTCATTTTTGTAATGTCCAGCTAAATTGTAGGATGTTATGTAAATTAATCTATTTTTGATTCATTCAAACTGAAAAACGGGAGGCATTTAATGGGATAAACAATGTAAGCACGTAAGCTTGTAAGCATGATAACGGGCAAAGTGAAGAGTGGATACACATTTACTACATAGAGTCTGCAAAAATGTTAATGGGTGGTTTTAAAAATGTTTTAGTCTGTCATAAAGGAAAAAAAAGAAATGATAAACTGACAGTGAGTGAGAAAAATTGATTTCCTCAAGTTTCCTAACTGGTGTTTTAAGTTCAGAGGTCCTTCTGATATGTGTCACTGGCATCAAATTAAAGATGAGCCAATATTTTCATTTGAGAATGAGAAGTATTTATATAGATAATTGATAGATAAAAAAACAAAACAAGTCCCAGCATCCCACCCATTATTTTATTTAGGATATGCTCTGTTTCTTCAGACATCCGATGATCATTTACTTTACAAAAAGATGGGAGATTACACAAAAAAAGTAATTCTCAAAGAGCTGTTAATGTAAAATGTTCCTAAAAACTTTGAAGAAACTTGATCGGGGGGGATATTTTTTTAGTCAATATATACAACAATGAGAGATGTTGGTACTCACTGGAACTGGTGATGTGTTCAAACCGTGTATGTGTGCATCTATTTTAAAGGTTTTTTGATAAGTGGAATGGGTAAAGCGAAATTGTCCCAACCAAAACTGATCTCTTTTGGGAATACTATTAACAATTAGTTTTACACCTTTAGATTATTCACACATTCATAATAAAAATGCCCCAAACAGCCAGACTCAGCACTTCCACATATACTTTGTGCTATTAAACACAAAACGCAGGACAGGATTTAAGTCAGAGAGCCTAGGACAGGATGTTTGCATCTTTAACTGGACTAAAATGAGTCTCCCCTCTCTGTGCAGGCTGCATTGCACGGACCGTTAGCTCGCCCAATCAACACCTTCTGCAATCAGAGGATGTGGTGAGCTGCTGCCTGGACCTCAGTGTTCCCAGTATCTCCTTCAGGATCAACGGCCAGCCGGTTCAGGGCATGTTTGAGAACTTCAACACTGAGGGCCTTTTTTTCCCTGTGGTCAGCTTCTCTGCAGGGATCAAGTGAGTGCTTCACTAAACATCATTTACACAAAAAAAAAGCCAAATCATGGCCAACTGTCCACATGTGCAGTTTATGTTACCATCAAAAATAGGGAACGAAAAAGCTTTAAATCAGTCACAGCTGGTTAAATGACAGTAGTAATAATAGATAATAGACAATTATCTATGAAGTTTTTGTTCTCCCCCTTATAGCTGATGACTGACAGACTCAATCATCTGGTTTCTTTCTCACTCAGACCATGCTTTTATTACTCTTAATGTCGCATAACACAAATCATATTGATAGAACACATGATAATGATGATAGAAGGAAAATGACACCTCCATAGTTATTATGGATTCAGTAGTCTTTCATAAATGTATAAGTTATATAAAGTATGTACAGGTATCTACTGACACATAATAAAATCAATATATTTTCCTGTCCATCCACTTCAGGGTGCGTTTTCTCCTTGGTGGTCGTCATGGGGAATTCAAATTCCTCCCTCCTTCCGGCTATGCTCCTTGCTATGAGGCCGTTTTGCCAAGAGAAAAACTTAAACTGGAGGCTAGTCAGGATGAGACGGCAAACATCGACCTGCTTGGTCCCACTGTCACCATGAGCCAGGCAGCATTCACACCCACACCTGTGGACACCAGCCAGGTAGAGGCACAGGACTTTCTCCCCCTAAGAAACAACAAACAGATCAAAAATGCTGAAACACGATGTTCCAGTACTGGTACATACCCCGTCTGTGTTTGTGTCTTTAGATTGTTCTGCCCTCTCACTTGGAGCGAATTAGGGAGAAACTGGCTGAAAACATTCATGAATTGTGGGTGATGAACAAGATAGAACTGGGCTGGACATATGGAGCTGTGAGTATTGTAAAAATGACGTTTTTACTTGGCTTTGATTGGCTGAGCACTAGACACTGACGGCTTGCTGCTGCAGCTTAAGTGTGACTGTGTCTTTCCTTGAGTCTCAACATTTTCATATTAGATGTTTCCTTTGTGTGAAAACACAGATTTATAATTTTTCTTGGCTGATTTGAATCCTTAAATATTAGGACTATTCACTAATTTTTAACATTTCTCATGATAGAAGAGAATCAATATTAAACAGTTGTTAACCATATAAATCAACATAAGTTCAAAATGAGGATGGAGAGCAGGAAAATCATGGAAAAAAATTAGAGCAAACATTTTTCCCTGGATCGTTATGGAAGTGTGATCCTCCTGTGTTTAATCCGTGTGTGTGTGTGTGTGTGTGTGTGTGTGTGTGTGTGTGTGTGTGTGTGTTTGTTACAGGTACGTGATGATAGCAAACGGCAGCACCCCTGTTTGGTGGAGTTTTCCAAGCTTCCTGAACAAGAACGAAGCTACAACCTACAGATGTCCCTGGAGACTCTAAAGTAATGCATTTACACAGAGAGTTACATGAATTTCATCAGTTAAAATATTTATCACTGTCACCAAGTCCTTCCACAAGAAATGTGCAAAGTTTTGTAGCTAAATGAGAAAAACTGGATACTCAGAAAGGCAGATAGTCAGATTTATGAAGCCATGAAGGGGCATTATTGCTTTTAGAATCAACCCCAAACATCTTGATAACAAATGCACATTTACCAAACTTTGCTAGCCTCTTTTGTGCACTGGTTATCTGTATTTTCATGGGGAGACCCCACAGGGGCAGAGAGAGTTTGGAAAGGAATGCAGCAGACGTTCAGCTTTTTTACACAGCAAGTTGTGTAAAGCAAGAGTAAAGTAAAGTAAAGTAAAGTAAAGTAAAGTAAAGTAAAGTAAAGTAAAGTAAAGTAAAGCAAAATATCAGCAGTGAGGAAATTGTAATTTGCTTTGGGAAAAAAGCTATTTTCGCTATACATTAATTACGTTTTTTGTTGCTAACATAGAACACTAGTTTGCAACTTTGCTTAAACTTCCATTTCTGTGTTTTGCAGGACTCTTCTTGCCTTGGGTTGCCATGTAGGACTAGCAGTTGAACACGCTGTGGAGAAAGTGAAGAGCATAAAACTGTCACCAATGTAATTCACATCAGTTGTTAATAAGCTATAAATACTATGATATTTGAGTTAATGGAATGAAACGGAGCAACATTACACATTTTAGTAATCCCATATGCACAGATTAACATGGTGTCTGGCCTGAATCTGCCCAGATATCAGCTTTCCAGTGGTTACAAACCTGCTCCTCTGGATCTAAGTCACATCAAACTGACACCTACCCAGGAGGCTATGGTGGACAAACTAGCTGAAAACGCACACAATGTTTGGGCAAGAGATCGCATCCGCCAGGGCTGGACATATGGAATCCAGCAGGTCAGAGGCTGGCAGCTGTGCGCCGTCTGTGGAGAGCGTTCTGTAATCAACTGTTTTATTGTGTTAAAGGGAAACACCGATTATTCACTAAAATATTATTCGTTGATAACTGAGCTGTAAGCACTAACTCAGGAACAGTCTAATAGCTTATACATGATTTAATAATTCAGTGACATGAGTGTGAATCCTGAAATATCCCTTCTTGCCTCATCACATTCTCTGTGATGTAAAATAAAAAAAAAACAGCTGAATATTTCCTGTTTGCATTATCAGACGGACGAGTCACTTTCAAACAGTCTCAATCAGTTACAAAATGAAAATGAAATTGATGATATTTATCCTTAAGTGGCATTACATTCAGATTATTTTTTTCTTTCTTGTGTTTGTTGTCTCATCAGGATGTGAAGAACCGCAGAAACCCTCGTCTGGTTCCCTACATTCTGCTGGATGAGAGAACTAAGAAGTCCAACAAGGATAGTCTTAGAGAGGCTGTCCGGACTCTGCTGGGATATGGATATAACCTGGAAGCTCCTGATCAGGACAATGGTAATAAGCTGATAACATTTGTGGACTATTTTGTGACATTTTTTCATGCTAACAAATTATTGATAGCTGGTAAGTATTGATGTTTTTATATCTATAACAAAAAGGCATTGTGATAAAATATAACATTTCCATGATAATGTAGACATAAGCTTATGAAACAAGTTGTTAACTTTCTCATATCTGCCTCCCTGTTTCCAGCAGCTCAGTCTGATGTGAGCAATGTCTCTGCTGAGAGGTTCCGCATTTTCAGAGCAGAGAAGACCTACTCCGTTAAAAGTGGGAAGTGGTACTTTGAGCTGGAGGTATTTTGTGTGCATTTCCCACCCAGCATGAACTATAGATACTAAGCAATGGATGTGAATTTATTCAGAAGTTCTTTTCTGCTCAGATGACAGCTCATGACTGTAAACTTTACCATTCTACAGTGTCTAAAATGCTCCTGCATGTCTTTCAGGTACTCACAGCAGGGGAAATAAGAGTAGGCTGGGCGAGGCCGGGGTGTCTGCCGGACCAAAAGCTGGGATCTGACGATCAGGCCTTTATCTTTGATGGCTTTAAGGTGGCCGGACCCTCCTTTATTTACTCAGTTGGTCAATTGTACACTCAAACAACATTATGTCCCTTGAAAATAAATTCAATGGTATAAAAACAAGTAACGTTAAGCAAAATTAAGCGCAGCAAAATTTAGTTGCTATGCTTTCTTAGTTAGACATCTGCCTATTTAAACATGATAAATGGGGGCATGTACAATGATCGATCACATTATTTTTTTCTGAAGCTCTATATGACTCAAAAGTCTGCTAGGGTGTTGCCAAAGAGTGGATTGAGTGCCTGCAGTAGTTGGCTAACTGATGGAATCATAAACGATAGCTGTGTACTGGCATGCTGACAGGTGCAGCGCTGGCACCAGGGGAATGAGCACTTTGGGCGGGCCTGGCAGACGGGGGACGTGGTGGGCTGCATGGTGGACCTCAACGAGCACACCATGATGTTCACCCTCAACGGAGAAGTGCTGCTGGACGATTCCGGATCTGAGCTGGCCTTCAAAGATTTTGACACATGTGAAGGTTAGTACTGTGTCTGGGATACCACACAGAGACAAGGAGACATGCATAGAGTATTGGCGCATTAGAATAAGGAGCATCATCAAGGATTTCACTTCACCTTTTGAACCTCAGAATTTCAGCAGAGTTTAAGTCCTTAGAGTCATCTCTGGAAATAGACAGTGGACCTTACAGTTTTCTGGGTTAATCTGTTGTAAACCAGAGAGCTCATACAGAAAATTAGCCGTGGCACGGTATGTTAGCAATCCCCTGATCTTCAATAAAAAGCAGACAAATTAAATGATTCTGGAATAAGATAAACACCATTTCAGGTTTGGGACAAGAGGAGAAGAAGGTGGAGGAAACTTGGAGAGCTTTCCCACCAGGATATTAAAGTGGAAATGGTTTGACTGTTTGCTAATGCAGAAAAATGTCTCAAACAAAGGAAGAGGATTGACCTGAAGCTAAAACAATGATGGATTAGGAAGAAACAGACACTTAACATGAGGTAGAGGTGGAGATGAAGAGTTGTGCAGTTTCTATTGTTGCAACAATTAACACAACTGCGTAAAATGTGTTAATGTTTTCTCTTGTTGATGTTTCTTGGTATTGCTGGAGTTTCAGGCATTCAGTAGATTATAGTTGTTGTTTCAGGAAGTATTGTCCAATGTCTGTCATTTTCTGTCCAGGTTTTATCCCAGTGTGCAGTCTAGGGGTTTCTCAGGTAGGGAGGATGAATTTCGGGAAAGATGTCAGCACTCTGAAGTACTTCACCATCTGCGGGCTGCAGGAAGGCTATGAACCATTTGCTGTCAACATGAATCGCAATGTCACCATGTGGCTTAGCAAGAGGCTGCCCCAGTTTGTACCGGTGCCCTGCAGCCACCAACACATCAAGGTGAGCCTTCACTGTCTGGGACAATGGAAAGGAGTCAGTTCTCGCATGAGGAAATGGCTATTTTAATTGTTTTTTTCAGGTGACCAGGATAGATGGGACAATGGAGTCGTTCCCGTGCCTGAAAGTCACCCAGAGATCATTCGGCTCGCAGAACAGTTACACTGACATTATCTTCTACAGACTGAGCATGCCCGTAGAGTGTGCTGAGTCCAGAACCCCCAATGACGGTCTCTTCTCACCAAAAAGGGTAAGAGAGAGCCAAATGCAGTTTGATCTGTTCTTCTGTCAAACCCAACACTCTCCGCGTTGGCTGAAGAGCCAGAGAAAAGTGATCTCCACGTTAAATGTGAAAGAAGCCTGGCGGTGTTTGTTTTGTTTAACAGCCGGCTGAGGGAACCATCCACTATTCAGTGAGGCTGTGTGGGCTGTGATCACCTGTTTTCCTCCACAGGAACTGGAGGACTTTGAAACGGTGTCAGACTTTGAAGTCCTGAAGTCATCTCATGGGCATTTTTCCAGTGGACCCGGAAGAGATGAATTCAACAACCACAAAGACTGTAATCAGGAGAAGCCATCTAAGCTAAAACAGCGGTAACGTCATATCAACTAACATCTGACATTAAACGACTGGGTTTGGGGGGAGAGCAGCTATCTGCCAATCAGAAGATAGGCAGCATGGCAGTTGGCTGTTGGCTGTTTTACTGACATCCTCAAATGTATTCATGGTGTATGATGGAGCTAAGAAAGCACAGTTCCATCACTATATGTGATGGTTTTTAATCCTTGCTAACCATGCCATCTTTCAGATTCACTTTGAAGAGAAACAAGCCGGAGAGCAGTTCTTCCTCATCTGCTCAACACTCAGAAGAAGTTGTTTCTGACGACAGGGATGGTTATGAGTTCATCATGCAGGCATCCACTGTAAGACCAGAGAGCTTCAACCTCAAGTGAACAAGATACTGCATGTTGCAAGTGGCTTAGATAGATAGATAGATAGATAGATAGATAGATAGATAGATAGATAG